TGGGTTAACACCCACATTTTTTTTTAGTCAAAAAAGCAAATTTTTATTTTTGGGCAATATTTTCCGCGAGCATTAAGGAAAACTTTATAAGGTGTTTGGAAGCGGTTTTATAATTTATTGAGCAACAAATGTATACTTAGTAGAATATTGAAGCCGAAAACTGAAAAAATAAGTGAAAAATACAATAGTGAGGATCAAAACATTGTCAAATGGAGTTCCACCCTCAAGAATCTCAACGAAAAGTCTTACCTTAATTTTCAAAATTTCACGGTGAGTATTTTCTGCAAGTATTAAGGAAAACTTTATAACTTGTTTAGAAGCGGTTTTATGATTTATTGTGCATCCAATGTATACTTAGTAGAATATTGAAGCCAAAAACTGAAAAAATAAGTGAAAAATACAATAGTGAAGACCAAAACATTGTCAAATGGGTTCCACTGTCAAGAATCTCAACGGAAAGTCTTACCTTAATTTTCAAAATTTCATGGTGAGGTGAAGGTGAAAGCATATAGATTTTACGATGATTTATGTGCGAATTTATAAAACCGACTAAAAATCGTGAGTGTTAACCCACATTTTTTGGTCAAAAATGTAAATTTTTATTTTTGCATAATATTTTTTGCAAGCATTAAGGGAAAACTTTGTAAGGTTTTTGGAAGCGATTTGATGATTTATTGAGCAATAAATGTATACTTAGTAAAATATGTAAACCAAAAACTGGAAAAAATAAGTGAAAAATACAATAGTGAAGACCAAAACATTGTCAAATGGGATTCCACCGTCAAGAATTTATGGAAAGTCTTACCTTAATTTTCAAAATTTCACGATGAGGCGAAGGTGAAAGCAAATAGTTTGAACGATGGTTCTTTTAGCAATTCCTCCATCTATTTACTTCTTTTTTCTTAAATGAATCTCTATAAAATTCTCATAATTAAATAAAAAAGTTTTAGAAACCCAAAGGGAGTGACCAAAACACGTTTGGGCCTTGAATTAGGTTCGAAGAAAGAAAAAAATTTGGTAATTACGATTACCATACCATGCCAACCAAACTATTTGGCATACCGAAATTTGGTATACCGAAAGTTTGGCACTGTAATGGTAATAGATTTTGTCATACCAAAAGTTTAGTATGGTAATTGGTACATGAATTTCGGTACGATAATCGTACCAATACCACCCCTATGCTCAGGTGTGTTTCATACTGAGTGTGTTTTTGGTCCCAATTATATGGATTTGGATCCTCTCATAAGCTTAAGAGGCTGAGCTCCTGAGCAAAGCACACGGACTGTTGAATTTTGATCCAATAGTACAATTATTATAACGTTTAGAGGGCCTCCAGATCAAAATCTAACGGCCTGTGTGCTTTGCTCAGAAGGCTCAGCCTCCTAAACTCATGAGATAATCCAAGAAAAAATTGTGCTTTGATCTAGTCGTTATCGTGTTTTATTCCCAAGAAAAAAACATGACTATACGTACATATACAATGTATGACTACATATACGTACGATGTATGACTATATACATACGGTGTACTCTTGAAACAAAAACCCTAATTCTCTCATTTCAACACAAAGCACAAAAGCAATGATCAATCATAATATATTTTGAACCCAACAACAAAATCAAGACCATACTTCGGTTTCTCACTAGGAGATACGTTTAATAGATAATGTTAGGGAGACTAAAATTTTAAACTAAATGATATCACTAATAGGAAATAAGCACGTTAGTCAACACTTAAATAATAATTTAATCATAAAAAATCACATCATTTAATTTAAAAAATTGGTCTCCATTATCCATGTTTTATAAAACTAGCCTTCATACACGCGCTCACGCGAGTGCAGAAGGCATTTTTTGAACCACGGTGTAATACGATGAACTTACACGTTAAAAAAAAATGTACAAAAAGAATTAATTATGCGTTATGCGCGTGCGAAAAATCTTTTTTATAACCGGCACTATACGCCTTTTAAGATATTTTGAACGTGTTTAAAAATAGAGAAAATAAGATTTAATAAACAATTGATTAAATCACATTATTGATAGCTCATTGTGAGGTACTAATTATTAAAATAAATAAAAAACACGATGTACTACGATGGACTTCGACGTTTTAAATGTTTTTATATTAAAAAAATATACAAAAAGAATTAATTATGCGTTATGCGCGTGAGAAAGACCTTTTTTTATAACCGGTACTACACACCTCTTAAGATATTTTGAACGTATTTAAAAATAAAGAAAATAATATTTAATAAACAACTGATTAAATCATATTATTGCTAACTCATTGTGAGGTATTAATTATTATTAATAAAAAATTAAAAAAAATTAAAAAAATAAAAACTGTACATGAAAAAGTTAAATATTAAACAATTGTTTAACACTGTACATTAAATAGTAAAATATTAAAACACTATTTATCACTTTGTTGACAAAAGAAATGTCAAATATTTGAAGTAAATAAATAATTTTAGATCATGTTAGAAGTAACCTCTCATAAACTAATTAAAGTAGATAAATTCACATAATAAAATCAGTCTTTATAGAATTTACATTAAGAATAAAAAAATAATATTTAATAAACAATTAATTGAATTACATTATTTTTAACCATTGTGAGGCCAAGCTAACCCTCTCCCCCTTAGTGTAGATAATATTATGTGTTAAAAAAAAATCATTTGACAATTAATTTAATCACATTATTATCTGCGTGTGAAAGACCTTTTTTATAACTGGCATTATATGCTTCTTACGATGTTTTGAACGTGTTTAAAAATAGAGAAAATAATATTTAATAAACAACTGATCGAATCACATTATTTCTAGCACATTGTGAGGCTAAGCCCACCCTCTCCCCTTAGTGTAGATAATATCGTTTGTTACATAAAAAAAATAATCATTTGACAACTTATTTAATCACATTATTATCCGCGTGTGAAAGACCTTTTTTATATCACGTGGCACCATCAATTTTGTCATTTGTTTATTATTTTCTCTCTTCCCTTTCATTTTTTTATTCTTTTCTCTGATGAACAGTGGAGAACAGTGTGATGAACAGTGGAATTTGGGGTCACACATGAGACAAAAATTTTGGTGTCGCCCGCTTCGACAAAAAGAAGTGGACCAAAATGCCCCTTAACCAAAAAAAAACCTGCCCAAGAGCATATTTCAAATTATGTAAGTGTAAATTGGTCATCTAGCCATAAAAAAAACTGTGATGCACTGTGACCTTTTCCATTGGCTTTCTATATAGGATAGTGGGCCATTTAAGTGTCTAGAAGAGAAATTAAGGAGATATAGCCTAATCCGTCTCTTAAATAAAATAAAAAATAAAAATAAAAGTTTAAGACGGTTGTTTTGCTCTAGAAAGTCTTCTATTTTGTAGCTATTGTTGAATGGCATGGTTTGATGAGAATCTAAACTTTAATCCGTATTCAAGATTGCAGAAAAAAGTTTATAAGAAAACCCAGATAGTCACCCTTCTCTAATTTTCAATGAAAAGAAAATTTTTCAAGCCTGCAAAATGATATATAAGGAAATTAACCTAGATAGTCACCCTTCTCAAATATTTAAAGGTAACCCCCAAAAAAATTGAAAGTTGCATACTTAGACTTTAAAAAAAAAAAAAATTACTAATATTATTAGGGGATGAGAAAGTTTAAAACTATTACAATAATTTAGATGAGGGGAACACATGGATAGATATCCAACACATTATCCACAAGAATATTGAACTACATACAGTTGCATACTTAAACATCCAAGTTGCTAGAGTATTGTGCACCCTCTTTTGCCTAAGTTCATCTTATAATTTAGATTAATTTAATGTAGATTAATTTAATGTAAACTTATCGCTTTTATAAACAGCAAAATTATGAGTACAAAATTGGAAGCAGCTTGATGTGAACAATTAACCAACTGAATATTATACATACATAATTGCTTTTGGAGAGCAACTTTAGTGCGTTCTAAACCAATTTTACGCAACCTTTAAGATTAGGCAGCCACATTAAAAATGTGCGCATGTGAGACCTAGTTTGGTTAAAAGAAGAGATAGGGGTTGTGTTTTGCTTGTTTTTGTATTTTCCAATTTCTTTTGTTTAGTTTCTAAAGATCAGTCAAATCGGGCTCCTGGGAACTTGCGGACCCATCAACTCCGAGTTGATCTGCAGCTAACATGTGTGTGTGCAATCGTTTTCTATATTTCCAGTCACAAATGACAATCACGATTATTGAATCTACCTTTTATACTCCATGTATATGTAAAAGCCGGGAACGCGAAGCGCAAACGAAGGTGAGTTGCTAGGCCAAATTCCCTGCCGACTATCGGAAACCGAGTGGTAAAGCCATGATCCCCTTACTGGTATTTGTAACATTCGAGTTACCATCCACCTTAAAAGTCAAATTTAAGTTTTCCTTCAAGATAATTCTCTGAATTCATTCATCGAGAGATTGGCTCATTAATCAAACTAACTTATATATGTGTATATCTAATGGTTGTATAAATTACTTTTCCTACTTTACCGATCATATGATATTCATCTTTATTAGAGACGTGGTTAGTAAATATGTACAAATAACATTATTCTTCATTAAACACTCAAATTAATCAACTCAATAAAACGTACACACATAAAAAACAAGTACCAATTGAAGAGAAATATTAAGGGAACTCTCTCAAAAGTGGGACTCTCCATTGGCTCTCTGTCACCTCACAATTTAACTTCAATTCTCGTGCCAACATTATAAAACAGACGTAATGCTACACGTACAATCTATTTGTATCATCTCTCTAATAAATGTAAGGTTCATCATCGCATGTGGGTCTCATATCTATTAGAGAGATGGTACAAGTAGATGATAAGGATAACATTTTTGAAAACATAGAGCAAAAAACACTAGAGGGCAGCGAGTCCATGAAAAATCCCATTTTTGAGAGAGTTTCCTTACCATAACTACATACTCAAGAGGCCAATATAGTGATTACCACTTAATTTCTGTAAAGCATTTAGTATGTATAGTATTTGTATTTGTATTTTGTACAACATTGATGAACTGTGAAAATATTGAAAAGGGTCAATCAATAACCCTGGCTTTCTCTCATCCTAATTAACAACTACAATATTTCTGAACATTGATGAATAATCAAAAAGGCCTCTTGAGCTGCTTAAAATCCATAGAATCAATACACTCCAACCTCTCCCTATGAATGTTCAACGCCTTTAACAAGTCCGTGACCTTGTCTTTGGTCCTCTCCGCACAACCAACTTGCAAAAGTAGCAAGAGCTTTTGAAACGCACCCACTTGAAGGGCCTCCACGAGCACACCTCCGTCTTCCCTAGTCTCGTTCTTGCAAAGCTTCCAAAGAATAGACACGGAAAACTCCGTGGCCAAATCCGAAACCCTAAGTATCTTCTTCACCACAACCGGCATGGTCAAGGCATGAAGGTAGGCCTTTTCCCTGCCTTGCTTGCTTCCGCAAAGTCCGTCTAGCACTCCCAACGCCTTCTCGCAAATGCTTCTTTCGGCATCTACAAGAATGTCCGAAAGCAGCGACACCAATCCCAGCTCTACAAATCTCTCTTTGATTTTCTCTTTGGAAAGAGAGGAGGATGATGAGTTGACCATTTGATACATGATGACCAAGGACGCTTTTGTAGAAGTAGGGCAAACTGGTTCTTTGATCAGCTTCACTAGCACCTCCAGAGCTCCTTCGATCTCTGCCAAAGCATCGATCTTCTGATGATCATGATCAGATGAGACAGCGGTCTCTTTGAGCACCAACGATGCGTTTCGTCTTTGTGAGAAATCTCCACTCTCCAAAAACCACACCATGCAACACAACGAAGCAGGCGATCCGAGGTACAAGTTAGCCTCCTTGTCAAGCGGGAAAACCAAAGTCAAAGCAGACAAAATCTCCTCCAAAACGGCAACGTTTTGATGGTGTTGAGAAGTTGAAAATGCATTAAACGCACCCGCTAGAACGCTCCCCGTGCCACTAGCCACAATGCAACGCTTGTTACGCTCGCTTTCTTTCGCCAACGCCTTGATCTTCGCCACCAAAACTCGGCAATCATCCTTGTTCTCATGATGACTCGATGTCGTAATCTTTGATAAAATCTCGGTCACCTGAACCGAACTGATCGGAATGCGAGGGGTGGGAATGCGCTCGATTCCAAAAGACTTTTTCTCGACGCACCAACCCTGTATCATCTTGCGGATGGTGTGATTGGGAATTGGATCGAAGCTTGTGAGGACTTGGTTTGTTATAGGGCACGTGAAGTTGCCGGCTTCAATCCACGTCTCTATGCTCTGACGGTCGTACGTGATCCCGGTGGACAGCGTGACCGGATCCTTCATCAACTCAAGTGAAATTGGGCACCGGAAATGGTTTGGTATGGTCAGCTCCATGTCGCCGGCCTCACCCTCCTTGGCAGCACCGCGGCCGGCTCTCAGCCTTCTCCATGATAAGGTCATGACAACTGAATTAATGAACTGTGTCTATCTGAGATATCAACGTTGGAATGGTATAATAGGTGGATCGACTAGTACTATGATATATATGTATTGTTGTTGGGTTGGAAATTTGTAAGGATGGATATATATATATATATATATATATAGTGGTTGATGTTTTTTGTATGTTTAAAATATGGACGCGGTTCAAGTTGGAAACTTAGGAAACGTTTATAAAATAGTGATAACTAATGGGTTTTGAATATTTGACCGTTGAACGTTTGAAATGGTAAGAGACGAACAGGAAGTGGTGCACCGTCAAAGGAGGAGGTGTCGGGCAATCTGTACGTACTGTTTGGAAAAAATCAAAGGTTTGACGCCAGGCCGGTCAACTGGTCGGTGGATTGACCGACTCGGATTATATCGCATTTGTTAAACCTTGGACCAGATCAGCATGTGAGATGAATGGGTTCACTAACTGATGAGATTGGTCTTTTCTTAATGTGTTTGATTAGTTTCGCCATTGGGCTAATATATACGCGCATCAAACAAGAACCCGGACTCAAGCTGGTGATTCTTATCGGAGTGGCAAAAAGTATTGATGGTTATGCATTCTAATGCATGTTCGATCCCCACCGATTTCATTCTTCCGTAACTCGCAATCATATTTATGCTTTAAGGTGAATGTTAGACATACAGCATGTAGAATTATCAGAGAGATGGGCAATACGGCCCACTTCCAACAACACCGATATTATCCCCAACTTGGTAATTACCACCTGCACAATCCGTCAGATGTGGGGTTTTATCACAAAACAACACCGATATTATCCTGAACTTAGTAATTACCACCTGCACAATCCGTCAGATGTGGGGTTTTATCACAAAAGGTCTTGGTCGGCAACCACGTGGAGTCAAGGGGACTCACCCTACATGCAGGGCCAAGGGACCCACCATCATCGAGGGGACCCACCCATCACGTGGCAGTACAGTATAGGCCCGCTCCCTGGCTCTGATACCATGTAGAATTATCAGAGAGACAGGCCATACAGCCCACTTCCAACAACACCGATATTGTCCCTAACTTGGTAATTATTACCTGCACAATCCGTCAAGTATAGGGTTTTATCACAAAAAATCTCGGTATTAATTAAAGTGAGGTTAGGATATTTAAACTATTAGTTTTCTTTTTGTATGACCAATGTAGGATTCAATGTAGCATACTGATCGAGACTATGGCTATCTGCCATGAGTGTCAACAAAACCCTAGAAAAAAGGAAAGTAATAAACTACTTGTTTGAGAGAGAGAGAGAGAGAGAGAGAGAGAGAGAGAGAGAGAGAGAGAGAGAGAGAGAGAAGCTTCGTTTTACTGTGATTGTGAGATTTCCTGTGATTGTGAGATTTCAAGGCCAATTCACTTGGTGATTTGAGCCAATTTACAAGGCACCGATTGTTTATAGTCGTGTGAAATGTCACACGAGAAAAGATGCGGACGCAATTGTTGAATATAACAGTTTCATTTTAAAAAAACATTGGGTTGTACTTCCGATAACACATGGTCATCTGTTTATACTAAATAAGGAAAACTAATGATATAATTTGAAAACTTTGAGTTTTAAAAAAAAATGATAAAAATGCGTTGTAAGTGAATAGTATTAGGATTAACTTTTTAGGGTGAAAATGTGATTTTTTGTTAAAGTGAACAGTACCAGGAGTTTTTCGTTAAAGTTCCCTACTAAATATCCCTTTCATGTATTTTGGTACCATTCATTTTCTAGTCCAACTCTTTACGCCTAGTGGTTGTACAAAGACGTTTGAACACAAAATTTTCTCCTACTAAACTAACCATATTTTGGGCTCCATTGGTATTGGCATTCTATATATTAAGTACAACACTTTACCGTTATATATTCTGGAGGTGACAAAAATGGATGTTTAAGCTTAGAAAGATAATAACTTACATGGAATAAACAAAGGTTTATGATATGATTTAAGCTGGCCATAGCCTATATAGCACTACTTGCCGGCTTTTGTGTTAGGGTTCGTTCGAATATGCTTTTAAAATAATTGAAAGCGTTTTTAAAAAAAATAATTTTAGGTTCTAAAAGCACTTAAAGTGCTTTCTGCTGTGCTTCTTCTAGGAAACACTTTAAGTGTTTTTCTAGGATTTACTTGCATCTTTACTAAAAATTGATTCTAAAAATATTTTCACCAAAAACATTTCATTCATTTTAAAAGCACATATAAACGATCTCTTATATTATTAAGATGGAAAATAAAAGCCTCGTGACTTTCGACACAAAACCAACACTCTAACTCGTGAGTTTCATTTTTTATTTTATTTTGTCACGCATAATATTTATGACAAATGCACTGTTACTGTAACATTTCTATTTAATAATACAAATTTTTATTTACAAGATGAATCATTCACACATGATATCACGATAGAAACATACTAATTGGGTTTGACAATTTCTTGTAAGACCCGTTAACTAAACACGAAACGACATGAAAGATTTCGACATCAACAAGTTAACGATTCGGGTCTTTACCCGTCGCTCATTAACGAGTTGAATCGTTATTGGATGACTCGTTAAAAACCCGATAAGATGATGTTTATTAGATATAGACATTAGCCATTGCAATTTTTTCCATAACCTGTTAAGTTGACACTAAACGACCCCACTCAATCGGGTCATTATTAGGTCACATGTTAAAAACTTGTTAAGAAAGCGAGTTTATATGATACGACCCGTTAAGATAACAATCATAATATAAAACGACACGAGTACAACAAATACAACCCGTTTATCAGACCTAATACCAAGAGAGAGGATCATCGCCATATCCTCTTTGTGAGGATCCCGAAGATCCTCCAATCACATTCGTTTATTGTACATCGTGCGGTCAATTTTCGTCAGGTATTGTTTCTATTCAACCTTAAATAAAAAAATTTACAAAAATTTCTGACCGTACGATATACGATGAATGAATATGATGTAAGGATCTCCGGAATCTTCACAAAGAAAATTCAGCGAGAATCCTCACGCTACCATGTAAATTATTATCAAGCATAAAATATGTTTTTCAACTAAAATTAAAAAAAATGGACTAGTCAACGTTGCAGACCTGACAAATACGCCACATAAAGAATTGGAATCAGGAGAACGGCGAGTGATTTGGGGACAAAATCGAGACATGTGGGATGTGGCCCCCCCCTTAAGTCACTGTTGGAGTTGGAGAATATTCTATAACTAGAAAAACAAAACAACATTGTAGCTAGCAAACCGCGTAAGATTCTCACTCTTCCGAATCCCTCCTGCTTCTTTCCTCTTCTCTTATATATATATATATATATATATATATATATATATATATATATTTTTTTTTTTTTGTGTTTTTCTCTCTACAAAAAAAATTAGGGTGAATTATATTTTCTTACTTCAGGTTTGGGGTCTATTTTAATTCCTTACAACATCTTCAAAACATTTCACTTCCTTATAACATCTTCAAAACATTTCACTTTCATACCTTAAGTACTATTTTATTTCAAAATAATACCCCCGTTACATTTTCCATCCATTGATCCGCTAAGTGCTGACCTGACTGACACATATATAACACGTGGCTGCCAAATATCTACCACATGAAAAAAAAATATTAAAAAAAAAAACCTGAATTGAAAATAAAAATAAATAAAAACCTGAAACCCATTCTCTTTCCCCTTCCCCGCAACCCCCAACCCAAAGCCTAAATCCCATATCTTCTCTGATCCACTCTTCCCTGTTCACCTCCCCGACCCACTTCGTCTTCTCCACCCTAGCACCCCCCTTCTCCCATCCCCTATCATCACCCACCCCTTCTCCCGTCACCAACCCTATCCATCAGCCCCCAGATCTTCTCTGCCTTCACTTTCGACAACACACTGCAGCCACTACGAAGCCTCGAGCTTCAGCAATCCTCGAGTTCAACAACACATTAAAGCCTCACGAAGCCCCGAAATCAACGACTTTGTTGCGGTTCTTCCTCCTTGCTACCTCGCCAACATTAAATTTCTTCCCTACCATGACCCCCATGTGGGTGTCAAAGACAGAGAGGTAACCCCACTCCACCCCACCATTCCTCTATTTTTTTTCTCTAACCACCAACACTGTAACAACTAATAATCCATTCTTCAGCCAATAGTTGTGCATCATTGCAAACCCACAACCCAAGCCTCTTAATTTCCCACAAATTAATCTCTTACTTTTATTCATTTCTAATTCTAAAGAGAAAGCTGAAGCTTTGAACTAAGAAAATTGGGGATTTGAGATTTCGTCTCCAGGACAACCATTTCGTTGAATTGGGATTTTTTTAGGGTTTTCTCCCTGCAACCCAAGTTTTATTTGCTTCAGAAAGCCATGGAATTTTTCAATCAACGTATGGTAGTTGTGATTTCACTAATTTGTGGTAGCTGGCAGGGCGAAGGTGAGGGTTTAGGTTAGTTGGGAGAAAAGTGAGTTTAGTTGTTTGATTTCTAACGAGGATGGGTGAGGTTACAGAACACGAACCCAGAAAAAGCAATTGTCGGGCTCGGCGGGGATGGCGTCGAGGTGGCAGTTGAGGAGGAGGGAGGGGAGGGAGGGTTGGACACGGTGGCGGTGAAGAGCATTGGAGGTGGAGGGATTTGGGCTCGATGAAGGTGAGGGGGTCGGGAGGGGAGGGAGAAGATGGGTTCTGCGTTTTCTGGGTTTGTTTGGGTTTGTTTGTTTGTTTGTTTTTTTGTTTTTGCTTTTTTAAAATAATTTAAATAGGGTAAATATTATTATATTTTAAATGTATAAAAATTATTATTTTTATTACATGGCAGACATTTGGCAGCCACGTGACATATATGTGACAATCACGTCAGCATTTAACATATCAATGGATAGAAAATGTAATGGAGGTACTATTTTGAGTAAGAAAGTGAAAATATTTTGAAATATTTTGAAGATGTTGTAAGGAATTGAAATCGAGCCCAAACTTAAGATATGAAAGTGTAATTTACCTAAAAAATTAATATAAGATATTAGTGTGATTTAGTCACAACCTTTAAAAAGGTGAGAAAATGAGAGAGATTAAAAAGAAAGGGAATTCTACTCGTTGTCAAACAGTAT